ATGTTAATCTTAAAATCAAATTAGATCACCTTTAATATGTACAAAGATAAAAATGACTGAAAACGACACACTCGCACATGCGCACTCTTAGGGTATACCCCACTTGGTTGCCTTCGTACGCGGTCATTGAGTATAGGTCGCTTTAGAGGTCGCCCTCTTGTCTAAAAGATCATAGTCGCCTCGAAATGGTTGTCTCGGATATTGTTGCCTCAAACAAATGATCTAAGACATTAGGGTTACCGCTAAGGCGTTTTAACATTGCTTTAGTGATCGTATGTCCCTCATTCGAATTGACCCTTAAACTCCAACGACGGTGCTACCTACTCACTCATAGTGGGATAACATTGTCTAAAGGAAATTAGCATAGAACGATTCCTTTTTTGAGTAGGTAGATGGTTCTTAGATACTTGCTCTTTCAAAACAAAATTTTTCACACTTACACTCCTTTTTCAAACAAAGTTTTCAAAACACTTCATTACACTCTTGAGGACAGAAGCAAGAGTTAAATCGAAGTTTTCAAACAAAACTTTTTCAAACCCACAAGCACAAAGAAAACAATTTTGAAAACAATTGAGCAAGTACCTAAGAGCCCGTGGATAACCAAGGATAGAAAGGGTGCTAATACATTCCCTTTCTATAATCTACCCCCTGAACCCAAGAAATATCTCGAAAAAATGAATTTTTGTGTTTTTTTCCTTTCCTTGTTGGATAAAATAAAAGTCGGTGGCGACTCTTGCTTACCGCGACATTTTGCGAAAACAAACGCAAAACGCAAACCAGCATTCCAGAAAACAGTCAGTTCTTCTACCGTATCACACCTCCCCTTAAATAATGGGTGTAGGCGCCAAGTGAGATGGCTTCTCCTTTGGGGAGTCATCTGAAACATGGGTATTTACGTAATTTTTTCCGAAACGTGGTTATTTGCGATTTTTTTTAATACATGATTATTCAAAAAAAATCCAGAATTTATCAATTTCAATTTCAGATTTTAAATTTGTTTTTATTATTCCTCTATGTCTCCTAAAAATAGAAAATTGGATTCGGTTGTGAGAAGCATAAGAAAATTTGATCATATTGATTAGAATATGACATTTTTATTATATTAGTTAATGATATAATTTACATTAGATGATATTCTTTTTTTTTTTAAAAATTATATTTTTTTTTATTAGGATCCATTTTTATTTATTCACTCAGAACACTAAAAAATTAGAACCGGCTCTAGTTTTAATAGTTCTGTTAGAAGTGGTAACTTGACAATTGAATATACAACTTCTATGTATATAGCAGTTATCAAACATAACAATGAAATTTGGTTCGAAGTTGGACGATCTAAGGCTTATACATAACTGCTGATGACATTGGTCATGTACTCATGTTTTTAGGGGTGTTTGTTTCAAATTTAAGAATTAAGTTTTAAAGAATAATTTTTAGAAAATTTATACATTCATGTTTGTTAAGAGTTTGAAAAAAAACTATTCTTAAAAATAAAGGTTCTAAGAAATAAAATAACTTCCATTAATTTTTATAATTTTAATGATTTTATTCCTATATAAAAAGGTGAAAATATTCATTCCCATGAAATTCACATGATTTTTTTATAAAAAAATATAACTACTAATTTTTCTAAAAATATCAAATAATATATTAAACACCCCCTTAATAAATATTCTAAGGAGTGACAAAATTAAGTGGGGTTAAATTAAAACAATATCAACTAACTCTAATAATAATCTATTTTTCTACATTTAGTTATACTATATTGGAACAGTGTCCATTCACTTTAGATCAATTAATGCTTTTATGGTTGAATCGGTGATTCCTTCATAACAATATGAAAGACAATTATAATGAACAACGAAAGTAAGAAATGGATATTTCTATCTTCCAAAAGTTTATCATCTTTCATTGCTCCTAAACTATAGAGAAAATTTACATAAGAATTGCTTCAATTAAGTCACAAATAATACAAGATTTTTCTTTCTTCTATATCTTATCGCTGATCTCACCGAGATTTGAGCCAAAAACAAACTTAATTCAAAATAAAATCGTTTATTATCCACTCATCAAATAATAGATGATTATCTCTCTTACATGAGAATATAAGATTCTCAAAAGTTAAATTCTTTGAAATAAAAAAATTTAAGACATAATTTATAAGTATTTAAAACAAATATGAAAATAATTAAAGACATTTTTATTAAAATAAATTTAAAATTCCTAAAACAAACGTCTTTAATTCATGCAATATAATAATTAAATAAATAAATAAAATAATTAATTTTGATTAGAAAAAGAATTTACAATAAAATAATAATAACCTCACCTTTTTGATAGGTAAAAAAAACCAACACTCTATGTTTTCAATTACTTAATTAAATATATAAAAAATGGTTTCGAGTAGGTGTTTTTTTTTATTTTTAATTCAATTTTTACCGTGGAATTTCTTTATTTTATTTTTTATATTTCAAAATGAAATTTGGATTTTACAGGGGAGATCTCTTTTTAAGAAATCAAAACACGTTAATACGATAGAGAGTGAATACATTTAACCCTATTATTATTATATTTAATTATAATTTTGATCCATCTATTTTATTTAATTCACAAAATTGATCCTCATATTAAATTTAAATAAATTTGGTCTCCTCTCATACTTTTGTATTTAGAATTAATGGTATTTTTATTTTCTAAATGTCAAGATTATTGTGAAACATGACAAAATCATCGTATATAAACATGTATTGGTCAAAAAGTACATGAGGTGACATATCTTATGAGTGGTCGAGGTTGCTGGATTGCAGACAGGCACTTACTTTGGTTGAGTATGTGATGATGGTTATGAGCGTAATGCTCTTTCATTAGTGAATAATGTGTATGACTTATAGTCTGTTTTTATCCCTCTAAGGTGTGTATGACGTAGTAGAGACGTTTTCTAGCTTGACTTCCACATTTGTGGATCCTATTGGGTGATTCCCCTATATTCTTGTTGGGCAACCTAATTGTTGGGCGAAGGCGCCTTAGTCTAAGGCTTTACCGAATATAACACTACATAGTCCCTCATGCACAAGGATTTTTCTCTAAAGCGAAGTGTTTAAAACTACTCTCTTTTTCATAATGCGCCCCTCGCCCTATCGATGATTCCCTGAATTGAGAGTGGTTTCCCCCTCATAAGCGAGTCTCTCAATGAAGGGCGGGTGAAATCTTACGCAGGTCCCTCAGCAAAAGTCATACGGGCCCATGGGTGCCTGTGTTGCATAGGCGTTTAACAGGCTTGGGAAACGCATTCGTTTTGAGGTGATGTCCTGAGACACCCTAATGTCAGTCATTTTGGCTAGATTGAGTGTTCGAGGGGAATATGCATAGGTAGAATTTTATGTACCTCATGGTGGTATTTCTCGAGAAGGCAAATCAGCTTTCCAAATTCACATGTGGCATTCAGGTGTGGAGATTTTCCTGCTTCTGGAGCTAACCTATTGGGTGAATATGAGAACCCATTTCTTTGGACTTTCTATATATTTTCATAAGCATTGTTTTACTTCTTCTTCTTTCTTTTCAAAAATTTATGTGTTTAGACTTCACTTTCTTGAACCTTTACTTTCATCGACTATGATAAGAAAAAACAAGTTCGTCCACGTGCGAGACATAGCCTATTTGTATTCTACTACAGACATGATCGACAAGTTTTTTCATGACATCTGTTTTCTAGCACGGTACGAGAGAGGGTTGTGCTCAGGGAGCATTTATCTAAGGATGAGAGGGTGGAAATGGACACTTTTGGTGATCCAACTTCTCTCTATTTCTACCTTTACCTCCCTGCTATCTATGATTTGGGGTTTCTGGTTCCTTTCCCCTCTTTTTAAACTGAATTTTTAACCGCTGCTAATGTGGCCCCTTCCCAGGTTACTCAAAACATTTGGAGTATACTTAGAGATTTTCAAATAATTTGTTGCAACCTGAGGGTTTCTCTTTTTTTTAGGACGCTTTTGTACTTTTACATAACGAATTCCCTTCCCGATAATTGTTGGGTAACACTTCATCCTTTTTCGGTGGTGCACTTTTTTAACCCCTTCGATAATCCTTATGAGGACTGGAAATACAAGTTCGTCCGAGTGATAAGGCATGACAACACATCTTCTGTTATTGTTGGATCAAGAGGCAAGCCCGTGTTCCCCTTATCTTGGACTTCATACCCTAAGGTTACCAAGAGAGCGAATTCACGTGTTATTCCCCCTTTGGACCACAAAGTGATTAAGGTTCTGGAGTGTTTCCGTCCTCTGGAGTCTAACATCCTTATCGTCTAGGATCGTGAAGACGGTAATGAAGTGGAGGATTATCTAGGTAACTCTAAATACTTTTTATTTGTGTTCCATCATGCGAAGGTGCCCTAAAGGTTTGTTTTTGTGTAGACAAGATGATGGTGGTATCCCTCGATGAAAAGTGGGAGTGCTTGGTGAAGATGCGGGTGACTCAGCAGTGGGCAATATTGTCTTTTGCTCGCAACACTGCTGACACACATGGGGTGGCACTAGGAGAAACTTCTCAGGCGGTCGAGATTTGATATCCTAATATTTCCAGGAGGAAAGATGGTTCTTCTGTGTCGTCAGGAAGCAAAGAGGTAAGGCCCGAGGCAGAAATATTGAAGGATGCTCTAGCCCCTCATAAGCCTTCTCTGTGGAGAAACTCCACCTTTGACATTGTGGCTATTGCAGATTATTTCTTTTCCTTCCCTAAGAACCTTCCAGGTGATTATCAAATGATTTTCGCCTTGTCTCCCACCCAACTTGATGGAGGTCTAACTTATGAGATGCTTATTGGTGGAGAAGATGTTAAGGGAGAAACGCTCTGATACCCTAGGGAGAATGATGTCCGAGGTGAATAACCTAAACAAGCATACTCGGGAAGGCGGGTTGGTGTTAAAGAAGACGAAGGTACAAAGGGATGATTTGAAGGTGCTTGGCGAATAAGTGGTCGTCCATCAGGAAGAGGTGGAGGGGTTAATGGAGTTGCTCAAGGAAGCTCAGAATGTTATTGAAAGCACGATGGAGAGGGTTTCTCATCTTGCAGATGATTTCGTTGAGACCTTTATTCATCACTTTGATGAGGCGAAAAGGTTGGTGGCTCTCCTCTAACCCATATGGATTTAAGCCTCATAGACCCTTTTAAGGTGGTTTTGGATGAGGAGTTGTGGATGAAGAATGACTTCTTTCCTTTTTTACTTTTTTGGTTATAATCTTCTTTACCCCTTCGGGGGTCTTTGTAATTATTTTGAACAATGTCCCTTTGTGAGCGTTTTTATATTAATTGCTTTTAGTGTTAACTGTTATGTTGTTTTTCCTAAATCTTTAGACATTTTGTTTCTATTGTCGCCTCCAAGGAGGAAAGGATCCTTTGGGGGATCCAACAAATATAATCACCTCTATGGGTGGCAAGGATCCTGCCTTGGGGATCTAACAAGTGTAATTGTCTCTATGGGCGATAAGGATGCCCCCTTAGGGGATCCAACAAATATAATTGTCTCTATAGGCGGCAAGCATCCTCCCTTGGGGGATCCAACAAATGCAATTGCCTCAATGGGCGGCAAGGATCCTCCCTTGGGGGGGATCCAACAAATATAATTGTCTCTATGAGTGAAAAGGATCCTCCCTTGGGGGATCCAACAAGTGTAATTTCCTCTATGGGTGGCAAGGATCCTCCATTGGAGGGATCCAGAAAATATAATTGTCTTTATGGGCGGCAAGGATCCTCCTTTGGGTGATCCAACAAGTATAATTGCCTCTATTAGGAGGCTTTCTCGTGAATATGGATTCTCTACAAAATGCTATTTCAAAATGGAATTTGGATTTTATAGGGGAGATCTCTTTTTAAGAAATCAAAACACGTTAATATGATAGAGAGTGAATACATTTAACCCTATTATTATTATATTTAATTATAATTTTGATCCATCTATTTTACTTAATTCACAAAATTGATCCGCATATATTAAATTTAAATAAATTTGGTCTCCTCTCATACTTTTGTACTTAGAATTAATGGTATTTTTATTTTCTAAATGTCAAGATTATTGTGAAACATGACAAAATCATCGTATATAAACATGTATTGGTCAAAAAGTACATGGGGTGACATATCTTATGAGTGGTCGGGGTTGCTGGATTGCAGGCGGGCGGTTACTTTGGTTGAGTATGTGATGATGGTTATGAGCGTAATGCTCTTTCATTAGTGAATAATGTGTATGACTTAGAGTCTGTTTTTATCCCTCTAAGGTGTGTATGACGTAGTAGAGACGTTTTCTAGCTTGACTTCTGTAACGCCCCGTTTTATTTAATATTATATTATATTAATATTTTCGAATTACCGTTTGACGTTTATTTTTGCGACGAGAATATTTAAATTAACTGGTATATCTGTTAATATATTCGACGACGTTTTATTCGGTTCGGTATTTATTTTGAGGGACCGGTAATTATTTTATTCGGTTCGGTATTTATTTTGAGGGACCGGTAATTATTTTATTCGGTCCAGTATTTGTTTTGAGGGACCGGTAATTATTTTGTTCGGTCCGGTTTTTATTCCGTTCGGTTCGGTAAAATATTATTTGGACCGATATTTAATTATTTGGAGTTATTTTAATTATTTTGGTTAATAATATTATTTGATATTATTTTGTGTTAATTAGTAGTATATTTTAAGAAGGGCTTTTTGGTATTTTGTCTAGCTTGTGTCTTGCTACTAAACAAACCAAATCCATCATTTCCTTTGTTTTATGTCATAACACTAAAACACACTTTGAGAGAGTTAGAGAGAGCTAGAGGTCTTGAAAGAGAAGAAGAGGAGCAAGAACAAAGCTTGGGTTTTGGGTTGGTTGGAATCATCAAGAATCATTTCAAGTATCTAAGGTAAGGGGTTTGATTTTCCAATGCTTATAGTTAGGGTTGATTTGGTATATTTTGATTTGGGATAAAATTGATGTTAGGGTTCTTGAGATTTGTTGAGATAAATTAGGAGAGTTAATTTAGGTGTTAGTGTTGTGGGATTATTGTTATGTTAATAGAAATTAAGTCTAGAAAAACTAAGTAGTAGCAGTATATATGTTACGTTTCAACAAGTATCAGCAGTATGCATTAATAAAATGAAGTTTAGAAACAAGTATTAGCAGTATGCATTAATAAAATGAAGTTTTGAAACAAGTATTAGCAGTATGCATTAATAAAATGAAGTTTAAAAACTAAGCTAGCAGTATATTAATTGAATTAAATTAAGTTTAGAAAATTAATTAATTAATGTTTTATTTTTATTTTCTTAATTTAATATATTAAATATTTATATTAATTAAATACAAATATAACACAAGTTAGCCGATTTAATTTGGAACCCGATTATGTTCCCATTTCCCGATTTTGGCAATTTCGGTGACGGAGCAAGTTGCTCCGAATTTAACGAAAATGGATGTGCTAGCTAATTTTGATGTGTAGAATATCGTGGTGAGGTTAGTTTTTCGAGATTACAAGTTTTTAACGGAGCGACCCGAAATAAGTCAATTTACGGTTAAGTTGAACCGGGTTGCATTTTAGTCGGTTTAAGTCGTGTATGGACAATCCGATTGCGACATTAATGATTATAATTGATGCTGATTATTGTGAATGACTTTTGTGACGATTATTGATGTTTGACTATTTTTCCGTGTTTGAAATTTAGTGAATTATTTGATAATGATGTGGTGTGATTAAATATGATGTTTACGACGGTTTATTTATAATGAATACTTGATGATATGTGATGCGATGATACATTTATCTTGATGTGGATGAATATGGGGACGTTGGTTTTATACCAATTTTGATGTGCGATGATGATGTTTTGTTGTGTCGTGTTTGTGATATCGTGTTGTCGAGTCATATACATTGCATTGGCGACGAGGGCTTTTATACCAAGCGACGAGGGCTTTTATGCCAAAGCGACGATGGGATTTTATGCCGAATGTCCCTAATTATGGATAAAGCGATGGGTACCACATGCATAACATAGTCGTGTCTCATGGAGTCGGTTATGTTTATTTTTGAGTCTTTTGGCGTTGAGTTTTATTTCATGGCTTATTGTGATACGGTGGGAGAACTGACTATGGTTTTGCGTTTGTTTTCGCAAATGTTTCGGTTGAGCAAGAGTCGCCACCGACTTTTTATTTTATCCTAAGGAAAGGTTTAAAAAGCACAGCAAAAACCTTTGAGATGTTTTCTTGGGTTCGGGGAGTAGATTATAGAAAGGGAAGGTATTAGCACCCTTTCTATCCATGGTTATCCATGGGCTCTTAGGTACTTGCTTAGATCAACTTGCCTTGGTTTTCAATTGTTTGAAATGGTGCTTTGTGTGTGGTTTTGAAAATGTTTTGAAAAAGATGCCTTGTCTAGGCTACCCTTGTAACAATTCTTTACTCGAATGTTTTACAAAAGGTGTTTTGTCTTTTTGAAAAGATGTTTCAAGGTTTTTGAAAGTTTGTTTTGAAAGTATTTGTGAAGTGTGGTTTGAAAAATAGGCAAGTGTTTTTGATTTGCAAGTTGACAAGTACTTAAGAGCTATCTACCCTAAAGTTCTCAAAGATTTTTGTTATGTTTTAACCCTTTTAACAATTTTGTTCCACCATTGCATTTGGTAGACAATCTTGTGTTAGGATGTGAAAGGGACGGGCGCGGGTCATCGTTTAGACCATGATTGCAATGGTGCCAAGTATCTTTGGGCAATTTTCTTTTAAGGGACTTGATCATTTTTAGGCAACTTTCGAAAGCGTCATCGAGGGACTATGATCATTTGAATTGTGTTTGTTTTTCCCAAAGAGACCTAACATGCAATATGGCCCATTTATTGAAGGCAACAAGTGGAATACCCTAGGGGTGCAAGTGTGATATGTGTTGTCCATTTTCATGCTTGTTTATCTTGAAATTAGGTCAAACTATTTTTGTTCTTTTTATTTGCATACAAACCCTAATTCTAACATGGTATATTTAGAAAGCATTAAAGTGCGAAAAATAAAGTTCTAAACTATTACAACACAATATGGGAAGGGGGGTACAAATGTTCAAATTGGGGGTATTTGACAAGGAATTTAAACCTAGCTATTACATCAATTTGGAATTATTTACAAGATAATTGATTGCACAAATTAAATAGAAATAAAATAAATATGCAAAATGTAAAAAGGGTTTTTATATGTATGGAAAAAGGATATTTTTTATGTCAAATAAACAAAATAAACAAAGTGTTATTTTTGGAGCTTTTTTATGTTTAGGGCAAAACCCTAATTTTATTAAGTAAAATGCATTAATTATTTAATATGTACAAATATTTATCAATTATGTACTAAATAAAATAAAAATGAAGTATGTTTGTCAAAAATGTACTTTTACTATCAAATATTAATAAAAAATAAAATGTATATATTTTTGTATTATTTACTAAATATTCTAATAAATATATATATATTTGTATTATTTTCTAAATATGTATTATATATACAAAAAAATAATAATATTTAATATTTATAAAAAAAGTATATTTTATATAAAATATTTTAAGAAGATAAAACAAAATAAAAATGAAAATAAAATGTGTTTACATTATTTTTTAGTATTTTAAGTAAAAAGTGTTTATTTATTTATTTATGTACAAATATCAATATAAACAAATAAATGCCTAAAAATTCAAAAATGGTTTAAAAAATTATTTTTATATTTTTAATATCATGAGGAAAAATAAATAAGTCAGGAATAAAAAACAAAAGTCAAAAAATCATAAAAATAAACCAAATGGGCCTAGGGGGTGTCAAAGTAAAAATAGTGTGTAAAAAGAAAAAGCAAATCAGGCCCAGTCCATGAAGACCTTCTTCAACCTCCAGACAGTTCTTGTTCAAAAACGCGCGCTTGGTACATGAATTCAAACATCCTGATTCCTTGAGTTTTAACAAAAACTTACAACACCAAAAATGTTAAGCATTGAATCACGATTCTAAATATGTAAAGAACTCCTCCTAACTCTCAGAAATGAGAGAGAATTTTATCATTCCCAAATCTTAACCTAACTTTTTATCAATATGCAAAATAAATGAAAAGTAAAGGTATGTACAGTTTCAGGGGCATGAGTAGAACACTTCTTATTCACAAACTTAGAGCTAATGATGTCTACATTGAGAGATAGAAGTTCAAGAATATACCTGTTCAGCTGAAGTTGTATCTGATGATGGAGGTACTTTCAGAGCAAGGTGATGATTGGTACAGCTTCCTTGATGTCCAGGGATGCTATTCCAAGCTTTACTTTGTCTTGAAACCTTTTGAATCGTGCTATGGAACTTCAGCTGCAAAACAAGAAAATGAAAATGGTGATCTTGCCTGGGAGTGTTACAGGTCGTGTTTGAGGTTTTGATTAGCTTCAAGGGATGTTATGGGATGTGTTTGACAAGCTTTTAGCAAGAATGCATGGAAGGTTTGAGCTATGGAACTCAAACTGCAGCAAATGCTCTGTTTGGGCAGTTTGAAGGTGATTATGGGAATGAGGAGGTATGAGGGATGCTTGGCTCGTGTTCTAGCTCAGTTAGGATGTTTAGGATATGTTTGACAAGTTTGCT